ACTTGTTCTTATTTGAGTGAGCCTTGGGAGGTTGGAAGACACCATTTTCTGAGTGACCAACCACTGTTCTTGTCTGTTTGGGGGCTGACCTTGGTTGTTGGGTTGAGAGGAGCCTTGTCTTGGTTTTTGGTGGTCCAAGTGTTGATCTTTTGTGCTAAAGGGTCAACCTTTCTTACCATTTTCGTGCATCCTTTTGTGACAGTAGCTTGAGACTGATTGTGAGCTCCAAAGGGCAACCTTTCCTTCTGTTTTGAGCTGGGGTATGTGTACCAACCTTTAACTTGAGTTTAAATGCTTAAAAATGGTACCTTGATGCATCTAATGACTAAAAGATGATAACTTGTTGTTGGGTAATGTTGAACACGCCTAGAAATGCATGATTAGGTGTTTAAAATCGGTAAAAAGGGAACCTTTAAGGGATATCTTCACGAAAATGCAGAAACTGCATTCTGTCGTGAAATATCCAGATATTTGTTGAACAGACATCCGGATATTGGATATCCGGATATGTGATATCCGGATATGGGTTTGGGATATCCGGATATGGACAATGAGATATCCGGATATGGTCCCGAGGAATATCCGAATATTCTGGGATTTCGCAGAACAGTAGCTGTGCTGTGTGTACAGTAGGCTATTGGGGGTTTGTGGACCCTAGATTGATGAAGTTGAACTTCTGTGATTAATGGACTAAGTCAGAATCATATGATTAAGGGCTTGTGGCTTTGTTAGAAGCTTTAAGACATAAAACGTAATGAGAAGGCGTTGTATTTAATTTGTATGCATGTGGTACATGTTTATTGATTTATATTTGGTCCATATCAGATTGTGATCTGCTGTGATTAGACTTTGAGCTTGTGGCATTGGATAGCTAGCTTAGAGGTAAGCTTTCGTGTCCTCGGTTTAGCCACGTTGTGGTTCCACCATGTCCCATGGGGGAATGGTTATATGCATGCTGTGTTACATGCTTTTGATGTTTTGGAAATGCTGTTGAGCTATTGTATGTTAGTGCCTTGTTGATATGCATGGAGGTGTTTCACCTATACGGTAAGCCTGAGTATGTGGAACATACAAGATGGTGAGGCTGTGGGTGAGGTGCAAGCGGTGTTCCTTGTACTACATGTAGGGAATAGACGTATTCCTACATTTCTCTGGCCAGTAGATAGTGATTACACACATGCCATAGATATCTGTTGCACTACATAGTTTTGGAACTGATAATGATATAAATGCTTTTAGAACTTATATTGCACATGTAAGTGAGCTTGGGGTGGAAGATCCTTGAGGACCCCTTGTCTTACTGAGATTTCTTGTTTAGAGATCTCACCCCACGTTTGGGGAATGCTTATTTCAGGGTCAGGTAATGTTGAGACCTCAGGCGGCAGGAGGCCGGAGCTGAGTTAGATTGTTGTTATATTATGCTGCCATGATTGGATGCTGGTTATGCATGCTGCTTATATGCTTATAGCTTCAGTTATGTTTATGGAGTTTTATGTTGAGACTGGTTGTTTACTATGTTTATTTGGTGAGCATGGGGATTGTCCATGACACATAGTATTGTTATGTCTTGATTATGTCTTGAGTCTTTTGGAGTTGTAATAATGTATCAGGATATTGTCCGGATTACGAGATGTATTACCGTGATTTAGATACACACTTCATTTATATATTGAGGTATTTCTGTAGATGTCTTATTGCAATTTATATACAGGCGTTATTTTATGAAATTGATTAAGTAATCAAGTTGGTAATTGATAATGACGTCATAATTGAAAAGAAAAAGAATATTCCGTATTTTTAATTAAGCACCGCTTAATACGATGTAATGTTAACATTTCTGGGTATACACGGGGTGTTACAGTATTTAATTATGAATATTGTACTCTTTTTCTTTCGTTAAGGTTTTATCCCACTGAGTTTTTCTTAGCAAGGTTTTAATGAAGCATATTCATATTAAATCGTCATCCAAGGAGGAGTGTTACAGAATATTGATGGATGACGTTTTTGTATTAAGAAAAGGTAATTTCAAATCTGAAAACCGTTGCTATTTATCCCCCAATTTATAATTATGTAACCACCACATAATGATGTATTGAATTGTACGTACTTTCTTGTTCATGTATATCCTATATAAGGATGTGACTTCTATGTAAATATAATGATGGAATAAGAATCAGTATTCTACCTATCTCTTTTGTCTTCTCTCTGACTTAGTCTTGTAATATGTCATCCCCTCATCCTCTCCCATTATTTCTTTATTTTATAACAGTTTTTGGTTACATGAAAGAAGATGATTTTTTTGTATAACCATTCCATGACAAACTTCTTAATAGTTCTAATTGCTAATGTGTTGTCAAGCCTCACTCTTGCTTTTCATTAGAAATGTCCAAGTAAACTGTAAATAATCATCCATCATAGTAAGAAAGAAATGATTACCATTAATAGATGCAGTAAAAAAGGACCCTAAATATCGACGTGCAACATATCAAGGACCTTATTTGTCTTACTATCACTAGAGGCAAAAGGAAGTCTCATTTGTTGAGACATTTTATGTTAAATATTTTTTGAAAGGTGACCCAAACGTCTGTGCCAAACGGTAGTTGCATCTGCTCCATTTAGAACATTATTACAACCCTTCTCAAGCTTGGCAGCTGGCTTCACTTGCTAAACTTCTTTTTTGACTATCACATATAGGTCGTCACTCCTCTTAGCTATACCAATCAGCGTCCGGGAGTTGATCAGTTTAATAAAACAAAATTCAGTAGTAAACGTGAGTGAACATATATAATAATCTTCAAAGACGTATTACAGAATTTTTTAGCCCATTTTAGCACATGTAAATGGGCTGTGTGGGCTCTTATGTGAGGTAGCTTATTAGAGATATAATATATAAAATTATTAATGTGAGGTTCACTCAACAGCTTAAATTAGTGGGTTGAGTTGGTTCTTTTCACTTTGTGCTCATGTATGGTCTTGTTGTTGGGCTCCACTTGATGTCCCAACAAATCAGCATCTTTTGTTTTATTTATGTATCCATATGGATCAATTGTTTTCCTTTTATAAAAAATTTTACGCATATTGTTACACGAAGAAGATCTTCATGGAGGAAGCATCACTCGACCATACTCAAGACTACGTTGCTTGATAGGAAGCCATGCGAAGAATGTGAGAGTCGTAGGTTGTTAAGGAGTTAAGAGTCTATTAGTAGATCGATTGCATGGGTTTACGTAGAGTGTGTGCATAAATAACGTGTATTGTGAAGAAGATGAATAATGAATAATACTCTTAAATTGTTTTCTCTTTTATGTATCTCTTCTCCTCTTTTAAGAGTCTTCATCCTAATGGTCGACGCCTTTTATTGACTAAATATTTTTATTACTGTACCGTTTGGTTCTGTGAGCCCACTACGTACCCTTTGAGGGTAATGTTGTTATATGGATGGTACCTCTAGCTAAGGTAATGACCAGGTTAGAAGGTATTATTCCAAGAACAAGCAAGCAGATATCAATGGTAGACAAATAGTATGGGTATGACTTAAGAGTAAATGGGCGTAAATACAGTACATAAAAGATGATCTTCCTGCTGTGCCCATGAGGGCTATTTATAAGAAAAATGGTGTGGGTTGGTGAGATGGGGGTCAGCCCTTCTTGGGATGTGTCCCCCTGATGGCAGTGTTAGGCGCGGTTGGCGCTGCCACGATGGCAGCGCTGTACCTACTGCATCAGGCGATGTCAGCACTGAGCAAAGGGGCATATTCCTTTGCAGTGCTTATGGCGACTGGGTTTAGCGATTAATGTCCCAAAGTGAGACGTTTTGGTGTATATTTTGGACGTGCTGCAGTCTTGGAGAGCGTGAGGGTCCACGTCAGCCCTAAGGGCTGACTCAGAAGAAAGCCGAGGATTGGGCCTGAGTAACTGGGCCGCTCCAGTGCTTGGGCCATCCGGAACAAGTACGAAAGAAAAATCAATTCTTTAATAAAACCTAATCCCTACACGGTGTAACACCACTTATATAACCTCGCTTATAACATGAATTCTTCTGACACTTGTTCTCTCTCTTTGTCTCTCAGCACACTTAAGCCATTAGTTCTATTTATGACATACCTGCTTAGTTTTCAAGCAAATTAATTTCTTAGTTTTTGAGTTTCCTAAATCCTAAGATTTATCTCATATCATTAATGTGGATTTCTTAAATCTCGAAGGATATACGTGCTAATGATAAAATAAAATAAGACATCTTTATCAAGATACATGAGACAATATATGAATAAATCCCTACATTGGTGAATTTCTTACCACCTTGGAAATTGTTGACAACTCTACCTTAACCAAGCTTCCTAGTTGTGCCAATCTTTATCAACACCATGAAGAACCTTTTTTTGTCAAAATCACAAATAAGAACCATTAGCCTTAATATGTGTACAAGCTACACAACCCAAATGAAACATAATAACCACTGCTCCACCTAATTCGAAAATCCTAAGGAATAAAAATTTGTAGCCCCACAATCAATCATCTTCTCCGATTTGCAAACGTTTCCCCTCAATGTCTTTTCATGTACTGTATGCAGTATGAATTTTCAATTGATTTTATATATTATATGATGTAGGTCGTAGATTATTTTATGCTTACGTAAACGGAGTTCAGTTGTTTTGCTAACATGACACATGTATATTCACTAAGCATGCATATAATAAAACTAGTTAAAATTGTTATCAAAAAAAAAAAAAAAATCGTTAAAATTCATGATTAATCAAAAACAAATAAAGGCAACAGTAATAAATATTCAAATCCAACGAGATACAAACATTGAGTTTAATGACTTGAGAAGTTCACAAGTCTAAATAATAGAACAAACAACTGTTCTAAATATTATTCAAAAACCTGCATCATGCAAACCATAAGTTATTAGTCTTGCCTTGGAAACTCAAAGCAAGGTCAGGATTGAAAGTAACACTTTATTATCTTCTCAGCAAAGCAACAGAACAAACTCTTAAGAAATCATCCATAAGATGTCCCTGGTTCAGATGGTGAAGGTGTTCGAGAAGTCACTGGGGATGTTGCTGGTGGTGACTTGCCACCCTTACGAAAATATCTTCTAGCCCAAATATGCTTCCCATTGATGGCAAATTTGACTCTACTTGTGGCTTCAAAGAAATGATCAATCACATTTATGGCCTCAGGTCGAACCACAAGGCGAGCATACAATGGTTGCTCGGGTGGCTGAACTTCTTGCATATACAAATCTTCAACTATATATCCATATCTTCTGTTGGACGTTAAAAACAAGCAAGAGAACATGAAAGAAAAGAAATGAGTTAGAGAGGAAAAATTCACATAATAAAGTACAAAGCAAAGGGAAAAAGAAAGGGTAAACTCCGGTACACAAGGTTCACCGGCTTGTGATGATAAAAGTTACGGTCCATTACACACAATTTTACCCTTGTATTTTTACAAAGGCACTATTTATCATACTCGAACTCATGCCTTTTGGTCACAAGAAGCAACTTCATAAAGAAATGACAATAATTGTGTCATGCGGTTTCAACCTTGTCATTTTATACCTTTTGATTATTCCCATCAGTACGAAAGCCTTCTTAAATCTTTTCTATTATAACAAAACCCACTTGTCATTATGTCACTTTGTATATAGTACAAACTCACCCTATTATGTCATTATGTCAAACATAAAGTGTTACTATGAAGAATCCAAGCTATAAAGAATAATCTGAATGATAACAAAATGTTTCGAACATTGATTGGCACTTCAATGTCATGTGCTAATATGATTTTAACGGTGAAATATTTGGATGACATAAACCCTGAAGAATCTAATCTATAAAGAATAATCTGAATGATAATAACATTTGTCATAATGCAATCACAACTATATATGTTTATTAACTATCATACACTCAAACTTTTCATATTAAACAGATAAAACACAAATGTGTTATTTTTCCATTGTAATTTTAAAAAAATTATAATTACTAGAATAAATAATCCATATGCAATCTCTAAGGATCGAACTCATGATGTTGTGGTCGCTGAAGCTTTAATATCATGTAAAGAACCACTTCAAACCAAAATCTTAAAATGCTGACGAGAGCCTTTTTAATGGTTTATATACTTTTCTCTATCATACTCCCTCACGCAAGAGCCTTCTGGGCTTGAAGTGTAGATATTACACAGGCCCAAATTTTTGTTTACCTTGTGTTTATTTTAATTTCACTAGAAAGTGATGGCGTGTAAAGATCGAACTCGTGACTTTGTAGTCACTGAAGCTCTAATACAATGTAAAGAACTAATTCGCCTGTTCTTTACATGATATTAGGGCATCGGTGTCTCGGGTTCGATCCTCGCGCGCGCCCCATTTTCTTTGTGGAATTTCTTAGCACATATAGGCTGGGTCTGATGCATCATGCACATTTCAAGCTCAGTACACTCTCTTGTGAGGGGACGTGTTAGAGATATATAACCAAAAAAATCATTAATATAGTCTGATCCACTAGTTTAAGCTTTTAAGTTGAATTAATCAAAATAAATTTAATAACGATGCGCAAGTAACGTTATTCCACAAACACAAACAAACTTCTTATTTTTACTGTTAACTTCAGATTGATTTATGAGATTTTGTCGATATCTGTGTGCCACTTTTTATTCTCATTATTCTACATAATACATTGATAAATTGTGTCATTCAAATATTTTATCTCTAAAATCATCTAAAAAATTTATAACAAATTGCTATTCACCATTTGGATTAATTAGCCGGATGAAGATTACCAAAAAATAAATAAAAAATTAACAGTATGATAACCATAGGAAGCTTTGTGCTAACTAAACTAACTACAATACGTGTAAAGTCAGTGACTTCAAGTAACATAGCAAAACCACAAGTAACACATGGAGTGATATAAATTCAATCCAATTGAGGCAAATCAAATTTAACCCTTTTTATAATAAACCATTAAATCTAAACTGTTAGATATATTATTACAAGAGTAAATAAGAAAAAAAAAATTATAAAAGAATGCAGTAGATGATGGAAGAAGAACCTTGAGAAGAAATCTCGGATTTCAGACTCTGAAATGGGGTATCCTTTGGAGAATGTCATAAAGATTGTCCTATCATCTACAGTCACTTCCTTTCTCTCACTACCTAGAGAAAGATTAGTAGCAAACATGGTCGTAATCTGATTGAATCCTCTATTAAACTCTTTTCTATTTGAAACACCATAATGACTCGAACTTCCTTCATTCCATTGAGTTACCGGCACAGCAATCTGTTGGGGTTGCACAATTGCAACCCTAGGAGGAGCTGGGGCAAAATATAACACTTGTTGCTGCATATAAGGATTAGGAATTGTCCCATAAAGATTTGGAACATTGAAGTTCTGTTCCTTCATAGCTTTCTCGTACTGCACTTTCTGTACTATGTCAGTGAAAGCTCTAGAACAAACCTCATTGAGTAACTTAGTGACTGCAGGGATTATATGCATGCGTTTCTCAGTCAAGTATTTCAGGGAAATAGTCATACGAGTGAGGTTTTGGATCAAAGGCAAACCCTTATCATGAATATTAGCATTGTAAGGGAAATGGACACTTTCAATGCAATTCAAGGCCAAGAGGGACTCATCTGCGAGATTATGAAGCATTTTATCAGGCCAACTGAGCAAGTTTTTCACCAATCTGAAATCTTTGCTCATCTTTTCAAGGAACAAGATGAAGGACATGACATGTATGGATTGGCCTGGGTCACGGCCAAGTTTCACAACCAAACGGGTGAAGAGTAAACGATCAATGTTGTGAAAGAGGTTGAACTCTTCTTTGGTCACAGTCACATTGGAACCTGGATCTGTGGTTGAGCGAAAGAAAGCCATTGTTAGAGAATGATGATAATTGTGAAGATTATTAGTTATTCATTATAAGGTTATTGTATTTTAAAATGTTGAACGGTGGCATTTGTATTTTATGGAAGGCAATTAGTGAGGGATGAACTCTCTTTGTTATAATGGTAATGTCTTTCCATGTATGCAGCAATTAAAATGTATTGAATTTTTTGTTTATTATTGTCATTAAAATGAGAATGCATTAGGAGAAATGTATTTATCTTTTCTTTACATTTTGGATTTTGCTATTTATTTCTTTTAATATCTTTACAATTGTGTAATCCATTTGAATAACATTTTATGTAATTTCTTGATTTAGAGGACAGTAGTGTTGCAGCTGTCATGATAAAACAACAATGATGCTAACCAGAAAATAATATTCTAATATAATATTGATTATATCAAAAGAAATTGGATCAAATCACTCACGGTTCAACCTGGTCCAAATAGGAAATTTTGTGAATTCGGTGGATACAATGGAATCTCTGCTTTGTTATGTGGGATGATGTCCACGGGATTGGATCTTCAATGTTGTTGTTGAGTACATTGGCTGGAGTATGAGGGGTGAATACTTGTAAAGCATCTGACTCAAGTCAGTATTTATTTTATGAGCTTACTTATATTGAAAAACTAGGCCTTGGCCTCTCCTTTTACGGAATTTCTTTGCGAGATTGTCCTAGTGTGTTTTCTTATTGATTAAGTCCTTAGTTTGGCCCTTTAACTTATGCTGGGTTGTTGTTTCATTGAGCTCTTCATTTCTTCGAACACTAGTCCGCATCAAATATAATAATTGTAAAGAACCAATAAAGTCAATTAATGGTTTTATATTTCTCTAACACGCCCCATGAGACAAGAGTTTATTGAGCTTGAAAGGATCGACAATGCACAAGCCCCTCCTACCTATGCTACAAACTCTATAATATTTAATTATTTATTAATGAAATGGTATCGGTGAGGATCGAACTCGGTGGAGGCCAATTAATCGTTTTATATTTCTCTAACATTAACAACATTTTTTCCTCTTCCATAGATAAATATATTAATTAATGGCATGAAGAGGAAAAACTATGTAAGAATCTGCACCGTTAATTAAGGAAATTAATTAAATAAATGTGAGAATTAAGAAATAATTCCATAATTGACCCTAATAATTATTATGAGCCTTAAATAATATTGGTAAGTGAGTAATTATACTGAAAGTCGTTTTTCTGACGAAAAGTGCAGATACTGGTTCTGCTACCCGGTATAAATGTGTATCGGTGAAGTATCCCAGAAAATTATAATAAGTGTGGGAATATTACTAGAACAATATATAGGACTTGTAAAACAAGTTTCAAGTTAAAATAATGAGAACTGGTGCCAGAACTGATACTGGCTATGGAAAAGCGCGTACCGGAAAGGTGCTGCGAAAAATAATATAAAAATATGACAAATCTTAAAAAAATGAGTAGGTTCAGAATCCTAAGCTTGAGAATAAAATGCTAAGCGTAGCTATTAGCGTTAATACAATGCGTTTAAATCTTAAGTGGCCTATATATAAGGCCTTGGCACAGATTTTTAGGTCATTCTTTGGTGCCTACGTGAAATTTCTGAGAACATTGGCTGCTGCCACCCTTCTCCCTTGGTCACCTTTGCATGAGAAAACCTCCAAGCCACCTCCTTTCTTTGATTTCTTCACCTCTAAACAAGTAAACACTTGGGTGTGAGCATTGGTGAGGGTGAAAGGTGTCATGTTCTGAGTTGAGGGTGCTGTGTGGGTGTGGGGAAGGGGCTATTTCTGAGTTGTGTGTGTTGGGAGTCTTTTCTTTGGTTTGGGAAGCTCCAAGGAGCAACCTTTGTGAAGAAAGAACCATTGTGGTGTGCCATTTTCGTGCACCTTCAAAGTCAGAACCTTTGAAGCTGTTTGGTGAGCTCCAAGAGCACTCCTTTCCCTGTTTTGAGCTTTGGGTAAGTGTCACCTACCTTGATCATGAGTTTTAATGGTTAAAAGTGGAACCTTGATGCATGTAATGAATTAAAGTTAGTAACTTGTGGATGGGTAAGCTTGAACACACCTTAAAATGCATGTTTAAGCCTCTGGAATCGTGAAATGAACCACATTTGGATTGATATCTCGCGAAATACAGAATCTGAGTTCTGCCGCGAAATATCCGGATATTGGGTTAGAAATATCCGGATATTGATCTCCGGATATGGATATCCGGATATGGGGTTCTGAATATCCAGATATTGATATCCGGATATTGCCAGACAGATATCCGGATATTGCCAGACAGATATCCGGATATTGATATCCGAATATGTCCCCGACGAATATCCAGATATTCTGGGTTTGCAAGGACAGTAATGGTACTGTTCATACAGAATGATATTTTGGGTTTATGAACCCATGATTGGTCAATGAGGACTTCTGTATTAATTAATCTAAGTCAGAATCAAGTGATTAAGGGCTTATGGCTTTGTGAAGAGCCTAAAGACATGTAACGTAAAGGAAAGGCGTTGTCTTTACATCGTATGCTTGTTATGTTTGAATATTGATATATTTATCGGTCCAAAACAGATTGTGATTGTGCTGTGTGTGGATTTTGAGCTGGTTGGACTCTTGGCTTGGATAGTTAGCTTGCAAGGTAAGCTTTCATGTCCTCGGATTAGTCTCTTGTTTGTTCCACCGACCTCCATGGGAGGGTGGTTTATATGCATAGTATGCTTTTATGAAAATGATATATGCATTGATATATGCCTGAGACATGTTGATATAGCTGTTGATGTAATGTATGAATGTGATGTTAGTATTTGTACGATCAGGAAGCCACCCTGGTGTGTAAGGCACTATAACTGTTGATGTAATGTATGAATGTGATGTTAGTACTTGTACGATCAGGCAGCCACCCTGGTGTGCAAGGCATGAGGTAGCCTCCCTCATGTGGGTAGGTAACACACGTGTATAAGCCCTATCTTGTTCCCTAGCCAGTCGAACCGCAATTGCATACATCACATGATTAATAAGTCGTAGTACTTGGCTCGTTGAGCAAGAGATGATAATGTCATGATATAAATGCCTTAACATGAACATGCATTGAAAATTATTGTTTTAAACTTATATTATACTTGTAAGTGAGCTTGAGGCGGGAGAGTCCTTGAGGACCCCTTGTCTTACTGAGATTTATTTTTAGAGATCTCACCCCACGTTTGGGGCACACATTTCAGGTTCAGGTAATACTGGGGTTGAGACCTCGAGCGGAAAGAGGACGAAGCTTAGTTGACTGACGCTTGCCTGCTTATGCTGATTATGCTTGGATGCTTGATTATGTCTGTTGCTATTATGCTATTAGCTTCATTTTATGATTATGTTGTTACTGTTGAGCTGTGACTTTGTTGGCTATGTTGCCTTATTTGGTGAGCATGGGGATTGTCCATGCCACATTGATTGACTATGTCTTACTTAGTTTCGAGTTGTAGTAATGTATCAGGAATATGGTCTGGGCTACGTGTTGTAGTTCCGTGATTTAGATACACACAGTTATTCTATTTTATGAGGTATTTCAGTTAGCTGTCTTTTGCAATCTACATACAGGAAATGTTTTGAAAATGAATTAAGTAATTCAACTTGGTAATGATAATGACGTCATAATTGTAAAGAAAAAGATATTCCGCATTTTTTAATTAAACATGGCTTAATACGATGACATGTTAACAAACCAGATGCATACGGGGTGTTACAAACTACATGAATGTAATGTGGCGGCCATTCAAAATTTATGTTAGTGTGATAATATTTTTATACAACTCAAAAATTATCTTCCCTTGTATACGGGTTTTTTTTTATAATTTATATTAAAAGTTTGCTTTGTTTAATCATTATTTTAGATAAATTAGATTCACTAAATATATTTTTTTCTAAATAATTTTATGTTAGTGAATAAAATGTTGAAATTTAAAATCAATTTCCTTTTATATTGTAACTTTCATTTAATATTTGATTTTCTTTTTGTGAAATAATTTGTTTTCTTGTTAATACTTCCATTTACATATTTTATGATATTATAATAATTAATCTCATAATAATAATTATTATTAATTTAATTATCGATATTAGAAATTGCTTCTAAAGATAATTTTATTATTATTATTATTAATTACAATCGTCACCACTACCTCATCATCTAGATCAGTTGGATAAATCTATTGAGAAAACCATGAGCTTTCATACTAGCAAAAGAAAAGGGTACAGATTGTTTCAAATGCTTTGATCGATCTTGTATTATATGCAGTGGGTACCGTGTTCTTCGACTTCTTCTTTCATACCTTCCTCTTCAATCTCATGGTCATCAAATTCAAGCTCACTATCACAAAAATAATCGATAGGGGCCTTAATTTGCGACAGGTTCGTTTAGAGTAGTGTCGTCGCAAATTTGACAATCTAGTTGGCCGTTTGCAGTAGAATTCAATCTCAATTCGCCATTTCCATGGCAGCCATTTCTGATAGTCTAATTCCATCGCAAGTTGCGACGGACCAGTTTGTCTAACGCAAAATTCTGTCGCAAAGTCTATTTGCGACAAATATTGCCCATCACAAATAAGCTACTTTTGAGTAGTGTAGCCTATATGTAACACCCAGTCTGCAGCCGGTGTATTAACATCCAAATGGTATTTAAAGTGTAAGAACTCACACCGTTAATTTAGGAATTTAAATGATATAATTACGCTATTAGGAAATAATTCCATAATTGACGTAGAATAATTATGAGAAGGTTGGAATAATTAATATAAGGGCTTAGTAATGTTAAAAGTCATTTTTCTAACGAAAAGTGCAGATACCGGTTCTGCTTCCCGGTATAAATGCGTACCGATGAAGTATCCCAAAAAATTATAATAAGTATATGAATATTCTTAGAATAATATTTAAGTCAAGAATATCAAGTTTGAAGTCTAAATAATGAGAACTGATACCAGAACTAATACCGACAACGTTGAAACGCGTACCAGAAAAG